GACTCATGCGAGTGTGTGGTATGGGGCCAGCTCCCTGCTGCAGGGCCCTCAGCTCAGGGTGCTCCTCTCGGGAGTGAGGTGGGATGAGGGGACAGGGAGGGAGGATGCTGTGGGTCCCCCATCCCAAAACCTTCCCCAGGGAACAGCAAGAGCAGCTGTCCTGCTCCTGCAGCTGGAGCAGCCTCCAAACCCTCCCAAGGGTTTTTCCCAAACCCGGCAAGAACCAGAGTTTATTTTCTTGCTTTTCAATATTTGCCAGGAGAGGTTTCCCCAGCAAAGGGTTGGGTGGGAGCCCCCGGCTGTGCCTGCCCGCACCCAGCCCTGCAGCACCCAGTGCCCACCCGCCCCCATCGCCCCTGGCCCCCAGGGCCGGGCCCTTCACACCTCGGCGGGGGCAGATAAGGGCTATCGTGTCCCCCCATTGTGTGGAGCTTGAGCTCCTCTCCCGGCCCTTTGATCATGTCAGCCCCCCATCAGGCTGATACAATCTCATCTCCTCCTGGTTTCGGCAGCCTGGAGGTGGGTGCTGACTCACCACCAAAGCGCCCGGGCACCATCGGGAATGCTTCGCTCAGCCCCGCTCATGGGCAGCCCTGGGGTCTCCAGCTGCAGCGTCTGGTGGGCAGCATCGCACCCCAGATCACCTGGGACCACCCCAAGGCTCACCCTGGGGAAACCCAGCTTTGCACCCCCATCTCTGAGGTTCCCAAATTTATCCTTCCTTTGCTCTCAGAGCCCAGCAGCCTCTCAGATCATGCCCGGGTTTTTTAGGAAGCTCTAGCTTTGAGTAAAACCCAGCTGCTCCTCGTGGGAAGATGCCCTCGCTCAGAGCACCGTGGTAGCAGGAGACCTGTGTCCCCTGGGAAGCCATGTGCCCACCGCGTGTCCAGCCACGGAAGAGCCATTTGTCCTGGGACACCACATCTGTGCCACAGACAGCCTGGGACAGCCCAGGGCTGGGTGTGGGGTCTGTGCTCAGCCCCAGCTTATCTGTGCCTCAGTTTCCCCAGTTGTAAAACAGCAGGGAGGAGCACCTGGTGTGTTCAGGCACTGCGGTGATGTGGGCAATAGCCAAATTACAGCCCGGGCTCAGTAATGCAGAGGCCTTTTTATGAGGGGACAGAACTGGACCAAAATGTCCTCCAGGACTTTCAGCTCAGCTGGCTTTGGAAGCACCAATCCACCATCCTGCCTGCCCAGGTCAGCTGCAGCCAAGCAAACTGCAGTGCCATGGAGGAGCTTTGGCGTTCCTCCCAGGGATGGGGCTTCTGAAGATGAACCCACTGCCCAGCCCTCCTCACATGGACCCGGGGTGAAGACTGTGGCCGGTCTCTGACTGCGGGGCCCCAACCCGCCACGTGCAGGGCTGCAGCCCACCAAGGTGTGATTGCCTCAGGTGTGAAACTCAGGGGGATCCAGCACAGCCCCGGTGGCTTCTCCATCACCTGCCCCAGGAGAGAAGGTGGGCTGACGGTGAATAAAACATCATCTGTGATCATACACTCTCTTAAAAACTTGTCTCCAAGCCAAACCACTGCCAAACCAGCATGCTCAGCAAAGGGAGGACAAGTGGATGTGCATCTCTGTCCCCCCCCAGCCTGCTGCCATCTCAGTGAGCCGGGGAGGACAGACGCATTTCTTTCTGCTCCTTTTTCCTAGTGGAATCCCACCCATCCCTGGCTGCATTACAGACCACAGAACTGGGCCCGAGCCTGCAGCATGAGCAGGCTGCAGCCGTGGGGGTGATGGAAGGATGCATCCATCCTTCCTCCTCCCGGAGCAGGCAGGCGGTTCTGCCCCAAATGAGACGGACGGCCAAGCCTCGGCCATTGGAGCACAATAACCGGGCACCTCACCCAGCCCCCCAAAATCGCCCCATTGAAATGTATGGGGGGGTACACACCGAGAAACCCCACTGACTGACTCCCTCCGCATCCCCCAGTTAAAACCATCACTGCCACAATGGGCCCCGCTCCTACAAAGGGGCCGGTTCAAAGTCAACGTCTCCCTTCCCCTCCGCCTGTATATGAAAGGGAGCAGGAATGCGTTTGAGGCCTCGGCGGGCTGGGGGGCTTCCTGGGGGGATGGAGAGAAAGAGCAGGTTGGCAGGAGGAGGGGGTCCGGCCCGGGAACAATAAATCAAAGGGAAGGGGAGTTACTGCCCGGCCAAGGATCTTCTGAAACCCCGGGCCGCAGCGGGAGCCCGGGAGGAGCAGGGCTGATGGCGGCGATTGGAGTCCCGCAGCGAGACTTCCTCTGCCCGCTGGCAGCAGGGCAGGCAGCACGGCCAGCCTGCCCGCACGGCCCCTGGTGCCGGCAGCCCCGGCAGCGCGGCCCGGGGCCCGGCTCTGCCCTTGGCACGGCCGAACCCAGCTCCTGCGGGAGAAGGTGCCCCACCGAGTCTGGGCAGCGGTCGTCGTCGTCGTCGTCCCCGGCAGGTCCGGCAGCCGCGGGGCTCATTCGGGGTCACCCACGTCCCCGCCGATGGGCTTTTTGCATCCTCAGGTCGTTTTCCTGGGGCTGCCCTCCCTGCCCAGGGCAGCCTGGCACATGCCTAGCCGGGAGTCAGGAAGGGGCTTTAGCTCCAGCTCATCCTCTCGGTCATTTTTTTTTTTTTTCCCTTCTAGGAATATCATTACAAGGGGTGGGGAGTGGGGGGTGGTGGTTCCACTCCCCCCGACGTGCGGCAGTGCCATGTGCTGGGCCAGGGGCTGCCACAGGCACCGCGGGTGCCAGCCCCCGTGTGCCAGCCGCTAGGTACGAGTCCCTTGGAGCCAGCCCTCGGGAGCCGCCAGCTCTCTCGGGAGCCAAAGCAAGTGCTTCATGGTCAGCATCGAGCGCCTTCCCCCAGTCCCACCAGCAGCCCCAGCCCCATTCCACCGCCGCGGGGGAGGCTCCTCCAGCCTATCTCTTCGGCATATCTCCAGTGCGAGACGGCGGCAGCACGCTCCCCGTAATCCGGGTTAATAAACAGGGAGCGGTGCTGGCGGCTGGATCGCCCCTCGCCCTGCTCTGGCTGGGGCCGGGGGGTGCCCGCGCTGCCGGTCCCTGCCTGTCCCGGGAGCCGGCAGCGGGCAGGCAGATCCCAGCGTCAGGATCGGGGAAGCTGCGGGAGGGAAGGGGGAAACACCTGGAGCCGGCCCCGATAGCGGCATTGTGCGGGGCGGTGCGAGAGGAAAGCCCTTCAGATAGAGAAGAATACCAAGCGCCTGCATTGTGGGGCAGATGGGCCCGATAGCCGGGGCTGCAATCAGCTCTCCAGCGGCACACCCAGAACTTCGGGGCCTCGCTGCCTGCCCGGGCCTCCGCGGAGGACGCGCTCCCTCCGAGGCAGGGCCTTCCTCTGGGGGGTGAGGAAGAGGACAGGGACGGGGGGAGAGTGAGGGAGCCGGGGAGCCCCAGCTTTGTCCACAAAGCGCTCTGCGGGGTACCCCACCGAGCCGTGAGGCTCTGCCGCTGGGACAGCGCGTCGCAGAGGGCCGAGAGGGGTGGCCGAGCCCTCCTCCAGCCCTCTCTGCAGGACGGCCCCGGCGGCCCCGGGGCTGACGTCGGGCCGCTGCCCCCGTTTCCCAGAGCGATCCCGGTCCTCTGCTCGTGCCCTGCGGCGCTGGGGAGTCCCCGGGTGGGGGGACCCTGGGGCTGGTGCTGCCCCAACATTCGGAGGCGTGAGCCCAACCGAGCACCGCCGAGCTGCATGGGGGGAGGGGGGGGCAGCTCTGCCCTTCCACGCAGATGGGACG